GCAGACCAGGGCATGATCAGACTCCAGATAGGTACTCCAAAAGGAGCGGCAGTCTTGTACACAACCACGCCAGCGGTAGCTGATCGCGATGTGATCAATCTGAGTCCAGGCTTGGGATGCAGAGGGAGGACGCCAGGTGGCACACCGGCGATGACTGTGCCGGAAGTTAGTGCTGGCCAGAAACAGGTTGTGGTCTGTGCACAGTTGCAGCAAACGGTCCCCGTTATCTGTCCTGCGAACAACAAGTCCCCATCGGCCACCTAAACGACTCTCTTCTGTGCCTAGACGCCCGACCTGTGCATTCAAGTCTCCGGCTAGTACTCCAATATCTGTCGAACGCGCTTTCTGGAGAAGAACTGTTAACTGATGGTAAAACTCATCCTTGATTGCATCCGGGCTGCAATCTGTCGGGGCATAGGCGGAGATGACGAAAAGACACCGTTTCTCACACCGATTTCTTCTCACTTTGATGGAACTTTCTAATCTAACAGCACATAACCGACTGTTAATGGGGAACCAATCGATTAGTGCTGCCTCAGCCCTAGCGCTTAGTGCGACACCAACGCCAGCAAGACCAGACGAAGATGCCACAGGGTCCCCGGATAAGCGCACGTGGAACAAGCTTTTCGAGGCGACAGATGGAGAGCGGATTTGTAGTACTTCACTAGAGTCTTGAATACGGGTCTCGGATAGACAACAAACATCAACATTAAGACCTTCCAAAGACATAGCCAGCCCTATCTGTTGTCTGTTCTGCATTAGTGTGCGAACGTTGAAGGAAGCCAGCTTGAACGGCGTACGCCGTTTCAGAAAGACTGCCTCAGTATTCATTATCGGTGGAAGCATTCACTTTCAACCAGACAGTGACTGGAGATAGTTTAGATAGGACAGATTTTCCACCAAGAGCGAGCTGATGCATAAGTTGAAGAGTAAGGTTACACAAATTGGGGGTAAAAGGGGGTGAATTAGCGATATGGTAAGTAATAATAATAATAATAATAATAATAATAATAATAATAAAGGTAATAATAATAATAATGTTAATTGTTTTGCTTTTAGTATGACCAGGGATATCGTCAATAAAGTTCATAATTTCATTCATTTGTTTGTGTGTGGGCTGTGATACTGCCCGGGTGCCCAAACCGAAGCAGGTGGTTTTCTTAGGGGACCACACCCCGAGCCTTTGACCAAAAGGTCTGATCCACAAGGCAGTGGAGCATCGTGAGGAGATGCAGTCCCATGGTAGCCGTTGACCAATGACAGGTTCGTCCGCCATTCGTTCCATCAGGATCCTGGAGCCCATGTGCACCATTGGTTTGGAATCAGGGTTTTTCAACTCCCCTAGGTGGACCCTCCGTGTCCACCAATCCGGTTATAGCTCCGGACATTCGCTTTTCGTCCTCTCACTTTCGTGAACAACAGTAATGCCATGAGAAGGCAATGAGTAGGACTTCCCTGTTAGAGGCTATATATTCGCTGGCCATGTGAGAGCATTTCGAGAGGGAGAGTAGACTCTCCCCACTCTCGGCCGTACCAGGGCATTTTGGGGACATTTGCTGATGACCTCAAAATAGTATACAGCTATAAGCCTGAGGTTCTAAGTGAAAGTGTACGCCTGATTCAAGATGATCTCAATAACCTAACTATCTGGATAGAAAAGTGGCAATTACAATTTAACCTCCACAAATGCGGGATCATGCACTTTGGAAAGCACCCCTATGAACCCCTACTTTACTTAAATAAAAGTAAAGTCCAGACACTGAATTCAGTACACGATCTAGGAATAAATTACACAGGAAGCCTAAACTTTAAAGCACACGCCTCCTTTATTATTTCTAAAGCCAGACGTCTAATTGGTTTCATAACAAAAAATTTCTTCACGACAGGTGCCAAGCTTACCCTCTACAAAATATGTGTACGACCTTCCTTAGAATATTGCTCTTTTATCTTCTCTAATATGAATACCACTGACAAAATAAGAGTAGAAGATGTTCAAAGACGCTTTACACGCCAACTGCTAGGAAGTGACACCACTCTTGATTACACAAGTAGATGTAAGCACCTCTCTTTAGGACCTTTATGGCACAGTAGGTTAAAAAACAATCTGATATTTCGCTACAAAGCAATAAATGGACTGTCATTCCTAACCTCCTGTCCAACTATGATCAATGACCCAGCCTATAGACTAAGAAACAATGCATATACACTATTTACCGAAAAACACCAAAAACAAATGCGCTGTAAGTTTTTACAGTTCGGTATAGTTTATTGTGGAACAGGTTGCCAACACCTATCCGTAACTGTGACACCTTTACCAAATTTAAAAGGCTAATAACCCTGTTACTAAACTCTAAAGAACTTCACCAACTATTCCTTGAACTCCCGCCTACCAATGAGGCACTTTATTATGGACCGTCCTTTTATTTTTCTTATTACAAGTAGACAGATAACTCACTAATCTTATGGATGTTGACCAACTAAGGCCGAACAAAAGAAGCTCATACGTCCTAAATTCTTGTGAGTTGTTCAATGTTTTATTTTTTCTTACCCTGAAAATTTTACAATATTTACTATCATATCCTCTGGTCTGCTATTAGCCCTTACCATCTCTTAACCACATATAATCTGACTTGACTCTTCTAACCTTTACCGTTAGTTATATTCATAGTAGTACGATATATTAAATGGATATCTAACCCATAATACAAATGCTATTACCGTCTGATTTGCTTGTAACATGGAACTTGTAGAGACAGTGTATTCCAAATATGGTCCTTGATAAAAGCAATATTCATACCGACCACAAACGTAAGAGAGCCTAACATCATAAAAGGAGGGAGGGTGGCGTTACTGACCAGCAAACATGATGGTGGGGAGATAACTTCAATCCACCCGTGTCTGTGGGGCAGAACATATTAAATTACGGCTCCTTATGTCAAGTGGGATGTCACGAACCAGCGGTATTGATGCGAAATTATTCATGCAAAATACCACTTTGAATCATGTTGAAAAAAAAGCTGAATTGGTTCCACTTCCTACCAAGTAATCCTAATACAAACAAACTAGACAATTGGCTAAAAGCGAAGCCCACTCTATACCCTATAAAGTCTGTAAACAAAAAAAAGAGATTTCAAACAGCTTCGAAAAAAAAGGGAGACAGCCATATGTATCGGAATACCGTTTTCAGCACTTTATTTTATAATTACACAATTCCATACTTCTTTCTGAACTACCTTCATTTATACAGTTCCTTATACACTCATACCTTGCCCACACTTATTTTTCTTTAACACATTAGTATGTTCTTACCTAATAAATACTTCAGTAACAGACAAATAGACTAAGTGGTTATACCTTAACTATTCCTGCATGAAAATTGTGTGCTCTGCTTTTCGTCCTTCCTTTTTCTTACACCTTTTTCAGCCTCCTGCAGATACTCCACTGAAAAGAGAAATGGCACGGGTGACTTCATCCTACACCGTTATTAATGCTTCCGATATTCTGGAGGGATATAAGTTCGAAACTTCTAAAAGCCCCCAACTTCGCATGTATCTATTCTCGACCATCAGTTGTATGTTGCAACGCTACCTCCATAAAGTGCACCAAGTGTGATATTGATATTGACATGTTCCTTATGAAATCCATTTACACTCATATCTTATGAAATATCAACCCAGCTGAGTAATTTTCAACAGTGAAAATTGTAACTTCTTTAACAATTTGATCTTGCCTGTAAACCGGCATGCCTCATGTAACAATGTTATTTGAGAATAAATTATTATTATTATTATTATTAGATGAAAGTGTGATGTTTAGGAGCATTTTAATTATGGTATAAACTAGCAATCCCATCAATAACGCAGTTCAATCAAGGAGTATTAGATGAGCACGAACAAATGTTTTGTATTTGGAATTCAAAATCAGGCAGTCATCAACACAAGGGAATCATCGGTTCAGTCAAACACCACAGAAAGCCACGAAAGTCCTCAGGATTCAGTAACATCCCTTCTACAACCGTAAAACAGTGTGCAGAAGCAATCTGCTCTGGCACTCACTAGATCCACACTAACTCATAGGATAATGGAGGCAGGACACCTTCTCCCCAATCTTCGAGGGTGGTGATAGAAATGACTTATTCCGTTACAAGCCAGTCGCATTACTCTAAATACAGTCAAAGGATAAAAGCATCATCCTCCATGAAGCCCAACTCGGGCACAGATGGGTTTTACCACATAACTTTTATCTGGACTTCCTAACTATCTTAAGAATAGGATACTTCATTCCAGGGAGAGACTCCAACACCACAAATTATTTTGGTTGAACTACAGGAGAATCAAAGTTGAATTGTTAATGAAGTGAAACATTAAATGCGTGAAGCCACCCAAATACGAGCACCTTACTAGAACATCATCAGCACCCGCCTAGAGGCAACTCTCGAAGGGTCACATACCGAAGAGTGAAATACCAGGCACGCTACCATCCATCGGAGTTAAGATTTCTCCGAATATGAAATATTTTCCCAGCCGAAGCAACCACAGCCCCATCAGCCGATCGATTTCGGAGGAGACTTGACAGAAAAGTGCTCACCAGTGGATTTCCATCTCTCCCCTGAGTCAGCTATGTCTGATGCTTGTCCCATAATTTACCACGATTACCATCACCGAAAATCAGTAAAGAACTCCCAACTTGCTTATCAACATCTCCGACTCCCCTATTATTTTTAATTCCGTTTTCTCACATTGTCTTCATTCTTAAATGATTATAAATATGCAACAGGTAATCATAGGTTGATAACACCTAAACACGTGACACGTTTATAATCAAAGCGTACTGACTCAGTCAAATCAGAAATGAAGGGGTTCGAAAATATGTTTGGAAAGCCATCGATCTGTCGGAAAGCGTTTGTTTCAAGCTGGACGACAGCTGCAGGGAATGAGTAGTACGGCGTAGCCACTTGTGCTCCGATGTGTATGTTTGACCAAGTGCCTTCACCTAAGTGTGTTCAGTAAAGCTGATGAGGTCAGGATTAATTTCAAACACTTATAAAACTATTTATTTTGGTGAATTTTTCACCACTATGGTTAGCTTATTTATTCGCGAGACAATTAACTCTTAGTACTTGAATTACCACTTCGTTATTTGAACATTAAAAACCTAACAGCTTCCTTTCTAGTAATCTGATAGCTGCCTGTATCTAGATTCTCTACTGCCCTGAGACAAACGGAATCACACAACTATAAGATATACAAATCTACAAACAACTAACAAACTGAATGAAATTGTTGCGGTCGAGTGGCTAGACTACCACTCCCAGAACAAAACGAAACTCATGGAGCTGTACTGATGCTACGAGAGGGAGTGCGAAGAAATCAGTCAGTATATACAAGCTCGAGACAAAGATATTGGATATCGGATTCACTATTTCTGACCAATCAAATCGCAGCCTTGAGAGACAAACGCAAAGTAACGTTTGTAGGAATTTAAAGCCTTCAGTTTGTTGTCGTGGTTGAAATAACGTACCTATTTAAAAACTCTCACTTCTATTTCTTCTTTATTCCAATATGTTTCGCCTTGAAATTGTCTGCAAGTTATTCCACTTTATGCGTTTGCCAAACGAAGAAGTAAGTCCTTGTGGATGTACAATTCTGCTTATGTTCTTTAGTTTATAATCACTAGAAATACGTCATGTCTGTGTTTATATTTTATATTGTCCTGTCTTTTAAATGCTTTGCTGGAACCAGGTTGTCGTCATTCTTTGCTTTCTCAAGCTCATGATTCATGCTAGTGACTATAATGTAGTTTGTTTTCTTCCTGTCCCCAAAATATCTTGAAAAATATCATCTGATCAAAATTTTCATTCCGGGTAACAGGATTTTTAACCATTTGTTTCCCTGTTTGACCCTCTCTTTTACCTTCTTTGGGGGTAGCTTTCATTATTTTTGTAAATGGTGTATTTTGATCCATCACAGTTATCTGATAAGCCTGACGTGATATGAACACAACCTTCCAACCTAGAGTCAAATGTAGGGCCATTAAACTGTAGTTGGCTCACTCGCCTCCGTTCCTCTTCGCTTTGCTTTCCCCACTTCGTTTCTCTAATTGTCTGGTCAGATCAATAAGTGTATGAAATGAATTTATTCAAAATCCATTTTCGTATCTGGTTTATTTAGTTTCATCATTCACTAAAGCAACTCGAGTTCATTACTATATATGAGGGTTGAAGGCATTTATATTTTGATAGCAATCAGCCTACGATCTAACTGGAGTCAGTTACAGGGCCACTAAACTTCTCTTTTAGCTTGGTAATGGCAAAGCGACATAAATAATTTCAGTTGCATTTAGCAAGGGAATGAATCAATTCCATGCTCTTCCAATTCGTTGTACTAAGATAATTAAAAGCCTGTGGAGTACTCAACAAATTTTAATGCGTAGTCCGGCTTTCTCCTAGTCCTCTTTCTTTCTTGTCTGTAGTCATTGAATCCTACTTGATTTTCGGGCTTATTGAGTTCATGTTAATTGTCACTGCACCCAGACGTGTTGCATCACTAAGTATCAGACGAATACACTTTTATTCCCCGTTTCACAACTTGGTGTCTGAATAAGTAATAGATAAATTGTCTACTAGTACATTGAGAAAGCTTCATAATAATGTGTCACAAAACTTATGCTTTATTGTAAATTCATGCCGGTATTCTATTGTTTGTTCCCTGTTTTTACTTCTCATGATATATGATTGACTTGTGGTCACATACTACCCGTACGACGTAACATTGATTGATTTATTTCTTGTTCATCTTTATATAGATATATGGATACTACACAGGTAATTATATGATTCCAAATGCGAATTCAAATATAAACCCATCACTTATTTATCTTGTGGTATTTAGGATTTTTAGGCCAGTCTTTATTGTATAGTCCATCACCATAGCAAATAGATACCTTTTATTTTTAGGTTCAAAAACCCTATCACACAAAGGATTTATAGATTGTAATTTAGTTCAGAGGACTGGAACATTTATTAGTAGATCGGACTATGCCTTCCAATAGTATTAAACTGAGCTTGAATTTCTGTTTATGAATGTTTTACATGATCTAAACGTTAGTGAGCTAGATTAGCTTTCAGAATCATAAAAAATATCCTGTGATTATCGTATATTAACTGTAGCTTGTTTAATGTAATAAATATAAAAAACCATGCTTCTAGCAAATTTTAGTAACCTAAGATATAAACACGAATTTCAGTACACTATCCACAGACAAAATGTAATTATAATGTATAACCTTATACTTAGCAATTCAAAAGTTTAGTTCATTTTCATCGAAACCTAAACCCAGTCACTATCATAATTGTTTGCTGGTAAATATTTGATAGGTCGACAAGAATACACCATTATGAACTGTAAATATATTTGGTAATATACTCTTAGTTTGTGAAATTTTATAGGCGCATTATTATCCGTCATTTTCCTATGAAACTAAACTCTTTCGCTTTGCTTTGATTAAACAAATTACAGATGGAAGTATTTTCTAAACCAACATTATTCACTCGAGTTTTCGCTCTTTCAATAAGAAATATGAGTTCTACAAGTCAACAACCAAAGCATAAAATTCTTATCGTAGGTGGAGGCGCAGGTGGTTGTGCAATGGCTAATCGTTTATGTAAACATTTTGAAAAGAATGAAGTTGCTGTTATAGAGCCCTCTGCAGTAAGTAATTTTTAAATTGTATTAAAAATCCTTTGTGGGAAATCATTACTTTTTATACGATGCTGACATTTTTATCTTTATAATTTCGTCTGATTTTCCTGCTATGATACGGTAACGTGGGTTGATGGACTTCCATGTCGGGTCTTACGTTTATTGTAACTGTTTTTTTGATCATTGTAAAATTCCTGTATGATTTCGGTGTTGTTCTTTTTAAAACTTCTTGAGCTAAAAATATTCTACAAATACATGTATTCTTGTTCGTTCACACTGCCGTATAAGTAGCATTAAAGCTGAGCATAACCATTTCATAAGTATTACCAAGCGAACGACTGGGGTATGAACTTAATTTTGGTCACCAGTTACAATAAGACAACGTCTGACGTGGATTCACCGACCTATGAATTACGCCTCCAAGTGAGAGGCTTGCGAAGTGGCCCCCTTGAAAAAGTACCTGGTTGTCATTAAAAGATTATACACTATTCCAACTCACAGGTTCTCTTTTGTGTGGCACGTGGTAGTTTTGGTTCCTAGTTGTACTTGATTTTCCATGGATTCGATAAACAGTAACGCCGGAGGATAAATTTTTTTGTTGACTTATTAGCTTTCAGTCTATTGCAAACAACTGGAAAAATTCCTAAAATTCCTGGAATTTAATGACTAGACGCTTTCTCAGACATGAGTTAAAATGATACTCGATTGCTCTCATCGATGTAATTGTGGTTTTTCATTTTTCATGAAAGATAAAACATACTTTTTGGAGGATTAGTATTCTGACCGTGTCCCTGTTTCGACGTCAGCCCCTTCCATATTCTTGTTCTTCGGGATATCGCTATATTATTATTATTATTATTATTATTATTATTATTTCTATTGTTTTTATTATTCAGACTCATTATTATCAACCTTTATGGACACTTGTTGGTGCTGGCATTAAACCGTTACAAGAATCAGTTCAACCTCTAGAAAAAGTTTTAACATCGAAAGCTAAATTGTATAAGGATAAAATTACACATATTGAACCAAAAGAATCTTATGTTGTATTATCAAATGGAGATAAAGTAAGTGTTTTTATAAAACAAATTTTTATATGAAAAAAGTAATACAAGATGCATATTGTTCCCTCCACTGTTTTTTCTTTTATTGAATATGATGCAACACTTATATATGACTAATAAAGTATAATTTCGAGGAACTTTTGGATGTCTACTTGTAATTTCCGCAAGGCAATGGAGCATCGTGAGGTGATGCAGTCCCATGGTAGCCGGTGACCAAATGCAGAGTCTTCTGACCACTATAAGCAACAATGCAGGCATGTTCGGGATGCGATTCTCTCCCTCGAAATGCAAAATGTTACTTCTGGGTTGGGTTGCATCGACACCTGAACTAATGATAGGGAGTGAAGTAGTTGAGCGTGTTGACAGCTTCACTTATCTTGGGAGTCTCATCAGCCCTTGTGGTCTGATGTGTGACGAAATCTCAGCACGGATACAGAAGGCTCGTCTAGCTTTCGCCAACTTGCGCCATTTATGGCGTAGGCGAAATATCCGTCTAGCAACAAACGGACGGGTTTACTGTGCAGCAGTTCGTTCCGTCCTACTTTATGGCAGTGAAACATGGCCAATAAGAGTAGAGGATATTCGTAGGCTACTAGTATTCGATCATAGGTGTCTTCGACGCATTGCTCGTTTATCCTGGGACCACCGGGTAAGCAATGCAGATGTTAGGAAACGGGTACTAGGTAAGGATGGCAAATCGATTGATGAAGTACTGAAACTTCATCACTTGAGATGGCTGGGACATGTGTTACGTATGCCCAACCGCCGACTGCCCCAACTTGCAATGCTTTATGGTGTAGGAGCAGGTTGGAAGAAAGCTAAGGGCGTACAGACCAAAACATGGCATAAATCCATGAAGTCGCTGACAAGTGGACTGGGCTATGTTGATAGGTGTAGACTACCTGGTTGGGATCTGCGAGATGATGACAACCAATGGTTAGAGATTTTGAATGACATGGTTCAAAATCGTTTGCAATGGCGAAGGTGCATCCACTCTTTGTGTTCTACCAAATTTTAATCTTCTGAATTCTTCATGTCCGTATCCTTTTTCTCTTTCCAAATTTATTTCACTGTATTATACTCCTTCAATAACATCTTCAAACCCTAATCTTTCACATAATACTTATAATCTTACTACTTCTACCAATATGGGATTTGAATCGACAACTGAATCTCTGTGCTAATGTGGTATGGCAACTGGAACTGATGTACGTACGTACGAAGTTCTACGTTGTAACTGACTGACTGACGGTGACCAACGATTGATTCATACGCCATTTGTTCCCTCAAGATACTGGAGCCCATATACACCATTGGTTTGGAATCAGGGTTTTCCAACTCCCCTAGTTGGACTTTCCGTGTCCACCAACCCGGTTAATGCGCCGAACATTCGCTTTTCGCCCTCTCAATTTCGTAAACAACAGTAGTGCCACGAGAAGGCAGTGAGTAGGACTTCCCTGTCAGAGTCTATATACGCGTGGCCATGTGAGAGCATTTGGAGAGGGAGAACGAACTCTCCCCACTCTCGGCCGTATCAGGGCATTTGGGGGAACACACATCATGAGGCCTAGCCGAGATGATGTGTGTGCCTTACTTATTTTTTTAAAATATAAGAAATGTGAAATGAAATTTCTGTTCTAATAAAGTATTGGTAATTTATACTTAGATATATACAGTTTTTAACGATGGTGGAGATTTGTAGCTAAAGTAGGTGATTTTTGCGGAGTTTTATTCTCTGAGCTAGATGATTTAGTTATGAAGCCTTTATCGTTCTTTTGTACAATATCATCCGCACAAAATTCCATCTAATGCTCTACGGCCAAGCTATCAAGCCCAGAGAACAAACTACACCATATTTTTTTAATATTTTGCAAAGTTTACTTTCATTTCTTAACTTACAAAAAAATATGTGGGTTAATAATATTAAGACTGATCAAAATTTTCAAAAAGCTGTCTGAATTCTTGCATTATTAACAACATATTTGTTTCACTGTCCTTGACAAGAATTAGAATTTCATTCAGATATTGACCTTCTCACTACGTTATCTTTTTTTGTTTGATCACTCTGTAGTATGCATTTATGTGATGTATAATTTTAAATAATTGTTGAATGGAATATATGAAGTTCTTTATTATCTCGCTGAGTCTATCGAATTTTGATAGGCTCAGCGAAACTACTTGGTCGTGGTCTGCTCGACTATCGTAACAAAAACTTGGAGACTCTGGGTGACATGGCTCATAATCGACCACAATGACGTAGGTGTATACACTCTTTATCTTCCCTTAAGCATTGAGATTAAAATTGCTTCATAACTTTCTTCCTTCCTATACTATATCCTTATATACAACCTTTCTTTTATATGTTATCACTACTAAATTAACTACTTCTATGAATCCGGTGTTCATCTTGTTGTGCTAATGAGTGGGGTATGGCAATTTGAACCGATTCATATATATGTGCCTGGTCTTACGTTGTAGCTGACTGACTGGCTATCAACTTTTAAAATGTTAGTTAATTTCTTATGATCTGATTTTAGTTAAAATTGCCTAAAATCTTCATTTATCACATGTACCGACTTCATAATTGTTTTAAATCATATGTGACGCTCTATATGCACTGCTCTTTGCATAGTTTTTGACCTAGTTATTTTTTAAAGTATTATTCTGTTCTTAAATTCTAAGTAAGATTCAACAAATATTGTTGCTAATCAGTATGTAAATTGTTAGTATTGTGTTGGTATTGTTGAGGTCAGTCAGTCACAACGTAGAACATTGCACGTACGTACATCAGTTCGAGTTGATATATCACATTAGCACAGAGATTCAGTTGTCGATTCAAATCCCATATTGGTAAAAGTAGTAAGATTATAAGTATTATGTGAAAGATTAGGGTTTGAAGATGTTTTTGAAAAAGTATTATCCAATGAAATAAATTTGAAGAGAGAGAAAAAGGATACGGAAATGAAGAATTCAGAAGATTAGAATTTGGTAGAACACAAAGAGTGGATGCACTTTCGCCATGTCTTCCATGGTCTGTAACCATCGGTTGTTATCATCTCGCAGATCCCAACCAGGTAGTCTACACCTATCAACATAGCCCAGTCCACTTGTCAGCGACTTCATGGATTTATGCCATGTTTTGGTCTGTACGCCCTTAGCTTTCTTCCAACCTGCTCCTACACCATAAAGCATTGCAAGTCGGAGCAGTCGGCGGTTGGGCATACGTAACACATGTCCCAGCCATCTCAAGTGATGAAGTTTCAGTACTTCATCAATCGATTTGCCATCCTTACCTAGTACCCGTTTCCTAACATCTGCATTGCTTACCCGGTGGTCCCAGGATATACGAGCAATGCGTCGAAGACACCTATGATCGAATACTAGTAGCCTACGAATATCCTCCACTCTTACCGGCCATGTTATTCCAAGTGGGTTAACATGAAATTTGAAATAGATTTTTACCGGGCACACATATCTTTAAACACCATTCCAGTAGTTTGGCTCTCATCATCTATTTTCTAAATAATTTAATCTTTTTCTACTATATTCTTTCAAATTATATGAGCATCATCATATTCTAGGTTGTACAACATACTGCTTTATTCTTATTCAATTTGTTAATAGTTATCAAAAGACAGAAATGTACCTATATATGGGGTCGTAAAATGTTTTTTTAAAACATGACAGTCAGTCAGTCAGCTACAAATTAGGACAAGGCACATATATATGAATCGGTTCAAATTGCCATACCCCACTCATTAGCACAACAAGATGAACACCGGATTCATAGAAGTAGTTAATTTAGTAGTGATAACATATAAAAGAAAGGTTGTATATAAGGATATAGTATAGGAAGGAAGAAAGTTATGAAGCAATTTTAATCTCAATGCTTAAGGGAAGATAAAGAGTGTATACACCTACGTCATTGTGGTCGATTATGAGCCATGTCACTCAGATTCTCCAACAATTGGTTAAGATAGTCACGCGGACCCCAAGCAAGTAGTCTGGATTTGCGAACATGGCTCATACTTGAAGTTAGCGGCTTCAACGACTGATGCCATGTTTTGGTTTGGCCACCCTTAACTCTCTTACAATCATCGCCAATACCAGTCAGTAATGTGCATCGTGGTAATCGGTGTTCAGGCATGCGTAACACGTGGCCTAACCATCTAAGTCGATGAAGATTCATCACCTCATCAACTAATTTACCATCACTCCCTAATACCCTGTGTCTTACCTCCCTATTACTTACCCGGTGATCTCAGCAGATGCGAGCAATATTTCTAAGACATCTGTGGTCAAATACTAGTAACTTGCGAGTATCTTCTACTCTTGATGGCCAAGTAGAACAGAGTGAACTGCTGCACAGTATACTCGTACCTTGATTGATAGACGGATATCTCGTCTTCGCCATAGGTGACGTAAGTTGGCAAAAGCCAGACGAGCTTTTTGAATCCGTGTTGAGATTTCGTCAGATACCATCCCATTAGGTTTGATCAGACTTCGAAGATAAGTTTAAAACTTGACAATTTGTTTTTAAAGGAAGATGCTTTATATTTATGAAATAAAACAATAATCTTCATAAATCTCATTTCTTATGTTATTTCCTATTAGATATCATATGAATATTTAATCTTGGCACTTGGAATAACTTTACGTTATGATAAGGTAAATATTTGTAACGTATTTGTTCAGTTTTCAATGTTTCTATACATATCTGTGCCTTTGATGTAGTAGAATCGCTGAACTTGTTCATTGATCTTTCAAATCAGCATAAATTGTGACAATCTGGTTTCCGGCATTACCTGTGAGCATTATGTTAGCTTCTGGTCGACCGATGTTTCAGTTGCAACGTAGAATTCGATTTGTATGTATGTAATGATTATAACTGGGAGGTAGTATTTTACATAACAAATCAAAATGTATATTCCTAACTGAGGCTGAGAATAAAATGTTGGGCATTGAAAATCACAAAAAGAAGTATAAACACTCACTTTAGAAACATTTCCTTGACCACCTTCGATAACATAGCATAGATTCTTTCCTAATGTTGCCGCCAGACTAGCTACAGATAATCAGTTACAAAAAAATGAATTTATTCAATTGATGTGTAATGTATGACGGGAAATCTATAATTTCTATGATAACAGTTCTCTTTCAGTAGAGTAGAACTGATTGAATACCGAATCGGAAGCATTGGCCAGTGGAGTTCTACCAAGTATGTTGTAGAGATATCAACTCATTGAAGACAATTGGCTCAGTGGTCTGTCGGTTAAGGGCTCCGGCTCGAGACTGGGTTCGAATCTCACGAGTGCGGGATCGTGGATGCGCACTGCTGAGGAGTCCCATAATAGGACGAAATGGCCGTCCTGTACTTCCAGGTTTTCCATGGTGGTCTAGCTTCAATTGACCCGTGATTTCAACTATCAAGTCGAATAAGACATTAGTGAGTAACATTGTCTGAGGTTAGACTGTCATCATGTTTTACATTAATTGCGCAACAAAATTCATACACATATATATGAATAAAGGGTATTCGTATTTGAACAAAGTTGTCTTCAACACAGTCATTCGGTAAGCAACGTTAAACGCGGTATGTATGTACATTAAGTCAAGTTGTCATACGCCATTCTCTCAAAGAGATGGAAATATTAGGGTGAATTCCACAGTAGTATAAGTAGTAATTATGAGGAATTGAGAAACTCAGAATTAGAAAGGAGACAAAAAGTGGATTTAAACGCGCCATTCGAAACGATTTTGAGCTGTGTTATTTACAGTCTCTAATCATTGGTTTCGACAATCACGCGAACCCCTGAACAGATAGTTTATATCTATTAACTTGGCCACGTTTCGTTTGACCGTCTCTAAATTTCTTTTAGCCTAGTCATATACCAGATGACATAATAGGTCGGTGTAGGTGATAGTTGGGGATACGTAACACATATCACAGCTACCTCAGTTGAGAAACGTTCACTACTTCATTAATTAATTCGCTATCTTACCTAATATCTATGTATAACCTCAACACGGATCATCAGGGCAGTCCCAAAAACATCAGTAATGCTTCGAAAATACTTACAATCGACTGCTAACAGCCTACGAATATCAATTATTCGTAATAGCTGTTTCACTAATCCTGCTGCTTTCGGTACTACTCGAGGACTTTACTCAACAGTGAATCAATAGAAAAAATTTTCAGGTTGTACGTTGCGCATGACTGACTGTTGTGTTTAACGGAACTTACAGCCAATAGATTTAGCAGTATAGATAGAATGGCTTCAACAATCATCAAGCAATCAACTCATTAATTTGCCTCTAATCTCCCTGTCTATATGTATATATTCCCTTAATCGTTTATTTTCCATTTTGTTCTCTAAGGTTATTGGAGCTGAAGAGGCGCTGAAAAATGATCCACGTGTTTGTTCAAATTATTCTACAGATTATGTAGAAAAAACTTATAAAGCTTATCAAAATTTCAATGGTGGAAATGCTGTGTTCACACTACCAGCTGGACCAATTAAATGCGCTGGTGCACCACAAAAAGTTATGTACCTATTTGAAGATTACATTAAAAGGGTAAGAGAATATTCTTGTTTTGATTAAATTGGTATAGTTGCTATCATAATTAACCTTTGTCAGTTGTATATGGAACCATTAAAAATATCAGGTAATTTATATCAAATATTTTATCCTAGTTTTATGATTCTTTGGACAATGAACAGAGTTCTTTGAGGAATAGATCAGTTTCTATACTGCCTCAGCAACATCTATCAGACTTCTCTGTTCTGTATGACTGGCAACGACTGATCCACCTAACGAGATGAAATTCCGGAGGGAACCCTAACATTGAAAGCCGAATGAGTCACTGGGCCTCGATGACTTATCTCCAGCCCTTTTTAATGATTATGATGGATTTCTGGTCAGAGAATTGTTTGACTTGTTTGCACAAGTTTTTAAATGAGAGTGTCCTAACGTCCTGAAATGTGGTGATAGTTGTTTTTATCTTGGAAAAGGCTTTACGTCATCCATCTAGCTACTTTCAAAGTATAAGCCTAATTTCTCACCTTATTTCCTTCGTTCGTCTATCTTTCTTCACAATCATCAGTGTGGTGACAAGGTTACACTACTAAGGAGTCCCTTATTAAATCAGAATATTTGTCCCAGAGTAATTTTTTGCTCTCAATAATTTGTAGACTAATAATAATTATCATTGTATGCAGATATGGATGATGGTTAGTAGTGAAATCCTGGGCGCGCATTTCGTCCCATTTAGTACTTGTCAGGTGGATGTACCTGTAACCTAGAGTTAGTGTTCACTCCGGGATTCGAACCCAACACGTTTGGTCTCGCATTCGTGTGTGAGACCACTGATACACTGTTAACCATCATTCGTTTCTGCTTATAATTCTTGCGACTTAAGGCGACATTGAGGCGCAGGATACACATGTATCAATATGAAACTGATCAGTCGCAGTCCTAAACATCAATGTGAAGATCCAAACAACCAATATAAAATTTAATTACAACGTAACATAGAATAACCATACTCAGATAATTCATTTGCAAAATGTTGATTAATTGTTTTAAACTTCATTGTTCCTGAACTTTCAATCTTCTGTTGCCATATATAGTCTATTCCTGTCTCACGATATTTACTACTTATGTCGATATAAGTAGCCCACATCAGAATACCAGTTAAAACAATGAGTTATTATTTATTTATTTAAACACATATATATTGGTACAAAAGGGCACCAGGTACATATGCGCCACACTATTTGTGTGTGTGGGCTGTGATACTGCCCGAGTGCCCAAACCGAAGCAGGTGGTTTTCTTAGGGGGCCACACCCCGAGCCTTTGACCAAAAGGTCTGATCCACAAGGCAGTGGAGCATCGTGAGGAGATGCAGTCCCATGGTAGCCGTTGACCAATGACAGGTTCGTCCGCCATTCGTTCCATCAGGATCCTGGAGCCCATGTGCACCATTGGTTTGGAATCAGGGTTTTCCAACTCCCCTAGGTGGACTCCGTGTCCACCAACCCGGTTAAAGCGCCGGACATTCGCTTTTCGTCCTCTCACTTTCGTAAACAACAGTAATGCCACGAGAAGGCAGTGAGTAGGACTTCCCTGGCAGAGGCTATATATTCACTGGCCATGTGAGAGCATTTCGAGAGGGAGAGTAGACTCTCCCCACTCTCGGCCGTACCAGGGCATTTGGGGGCGAGTAATTATCATCAATTAGTAACCTAGTCAAAAGGGTTTCACTGTTTGAAGTAAGTCATTGTATAATTAAGTTACACTGTAACGGCGAATGTCAACATTGTAAAGTAGATAGATCTCATTGACGAATTGTCTTATATTCAATCATATCTTGGTTGAAACATCTACTGAATCATTCGAAGTTTTCAATGGTTGTTTTCTTTTTAACTGATATCCAGTATTTCCCCCCATTATATATATCCAAGTTGGTAATCTCTATTCCTTCATTTTCTTCTTTAATAGTCTGGTAAAAAGATTTTAGCAAATATTCATTATTTTACTGCTACTAACAAATTGTTCTCAGTGGATAAATATTCAGAAAATTTAACTGAAATTTGTAAAAAACGAAATATCAATTGTAATTTGTCATACAATTTAGTTGAAGTAAGTTATGTACTACTGTTGTTCTAGTAATTCTATATCATTTACATGTATATATATATATATGTGCAGACAGATACTTATTTTGTATAGTTGATGTCATGAGTCCATTGAAACTAGATCACCATGGTAAACCTAGAAGCACTGGACGGCCGTTTCGTTCTATTGTGGAATTCCTCAGTGGCAGTGCGCATCTACGATTCCGCCTCGTGAGATTCGAACTCAGAATCTACCAGTCTTATTGTTTACGGATAGTATGCAGCTGACTTGACTGTGTTTGTTTTTCTTACCTGTATGTGTGCCAAAAGGTTACTTTATGGTTGACTATCTATTGATTTTAGATAATGCTTTCTTTTCAAGGAATAATCTCTTATGTTGAGACTTAGTTGTTGATTCGGTGTAACAATAGATAGCATACTTTTGTTCCATAAAAACTGATGAAAGAATTCACAGTGATTTGAATGGCGTGAATAATGAAGCAAGTAAGGTTGGAATGCATTTCTCTCTATCAATAGACGTCAACGGTTGTTTCTAGTACTAGTCTTTGCTAAGCTTATCTTATTCATTCCGATTGAGGAACTGAGGAGTGTCTACCACTTCATTTATCTTTGATTTTTCCATAAACCCTGATAGACAGGTGAATCACGAGATTTCGGCATGAATAGAAAACGCTTGGCTGGATCTACCTGTAGGTTGGTTGAATGCAAGTACGCTGAGGAGCAGTTCCCACTATCTTACGGGAATTCGTTTTATATGGATTATAAATGTGTAAGACGTAAATAAACTATGATTATTTCCTGAAGTATGTGTTCGATACATTGCTCATTCATATTGGAACTACCAAGTTGGTAATGTTGAAGTTAGACATAGTGTTCTTGATAAAAGGAGCATTTCGATTGATCAATGAACCTGTATCACTGCAACCGGTCGTCCTAAATTTTTCGACCATTAATTACTATTATCATACAGTTATTATCCGAGAATTATGTACTTTTTTGAGCTGCTCAAGTCAGTGGTCAGTATTTTGATAGACTGATGTGGTCTTAGATTTCGTTCACGTTGAGCCTTCTTCCTGATATCTTATTTCAAAATATCCAGTGATTATGTACGCCTAATACATTTGTCCTTTAACTTCTTCATTCTATCCAAATTCACATTACCAATCCCCTTTTATCGATTCTATTATACTTGGCTTCAGCATCGCTCACTCAATGATGTTTATATAATTTATGAACGATTGATTTATTGGATTGTGTAGAATGGTTGGTAAATTTCATTGAAATATAAGTTGAAAACTTGACCGTTGTTTTGCGTAGTTGAACAACTTGACTGGTAATCATCCAGATGTACACTTATACAGTATTTTAATTAATCCACTTTGGACAGCTAATGATTATCGCGTTAACCGTTACACTTGATTTGTTCGACTAAGTATCAAGTACACAAAAATTGTGTATTTGGTTGGTGAGTTGGTGAAAATCATATTTGTGATTTTTGATGTCGGTGTACCAAGTTAAGGGTGGCCAAACCAAAGCGTGGCATCAGTCGTTGAAGTCACTAAATTCTGGTCTGAGCCATGTTGTTAGATGTAGACTACTCGTTTAGGGCCACTGCGACTACCATAACCAATGGTTGGCAACTGTGGATGACATGTCCCATAATCGATCACTATGGTGTAGGTGTATACAGTCTCTGTCTTCCTTTAAACCGTGGGATTAAAATTACTTTATATTTTTTATTCTACGAACTAATTCTTTCTTTCTGTACTATATCCTAATTCACAAACTTTCTTTTGAATATTACTACCATTGAATTAACTAGTTCTATGAATTTAGTGTTCATCTTGTTGTCACGTAACGATTGGTTACACTTTTTATCTTCCCTTAAACCTTGAGATTAAAATTGCTTCATATCTCTCTTTCTTCCTGTACTATATCCTTATATACAACCTATAATTTATATACTACCACCAACACTAAATTAACTACTATGAATCCGGTGTTCATCTTGTTGTGCTATTGAGTTATGACAACTTGGACCGATGCATATATGTGCCCGGTCGTGAGTTGTAGGCGACTGACTGAAGTTGATTATTTTAAATGTACTCTCAGCTGTCATTTCCAATAATGGTGTGTGATATTAGTTTTATATGAATTGTTATTTCCATATGGTCTGATCAATTCCATAGATTCATGTACTCTTCCCTAATTTTATTATCTATGTCTAATCTGAACTTCCATCTAATACTGTTAATACACCGAGATTTGTCTAAATCATTTCTCCAGGCTTTGGTGATATGGTGTTGTAGTACGTCGGACTGATGCACATATGTTCAAGATTCTACGTTGTTTATAACTGACTTGCTAGTTTGTTTCATCATTACTACTACTGATAAAAGGATAGATAAACTAATATCAATTATTATCAGTGGTTCTGCGCTCATATTGATGAATACATTCTAGATAATGAGAGCAAGTAGGTTTATTGGATATTGTCAGTGATAAGAACATCGCCAAAAATCTTTTGAATTTGCTTGATGACTCATATAAAAGAGACACATATGAAAGTTTTTTTACTACATTGAAAGTCATATATGAACAATTTAGCTTTATTGTAATATATGGACTATCGGGCAACTTTGAACAGGCTAACAAACAGATCGCTATCCCATATTGTGTCACTGAACTTATGATGCTTCTATGCATTTTGTGAACGGTAGACTTTAATTGGTCACTGATTACTTCGCCATTCAAAGCCTTTCTTTAAGAAGATGATTGATTTCTTTAATAAAATCTTGAAATTAGTCTATCTTATATCATTTGTCACAATTTGAGATATACTTTGATGATATTTATAGACGAGAAAGTGGGTAACCTTCTGCCTACTTTCTTCAATTTATCGTATTGCAGTGAACACATATGCCAGTTGGAATGATCGAATATATTTCAACACAAAATTACAGAATATCCTAGTAAAATCTGAGAATCAAAGAGTATATACTTAATTTGCAAAGTGTCAATCAAACTTGACTGTTCTTTTGCAAATATCAATCATTCGTCTCAGACTTCACTGTTCCTTCATCTCTATACCAATTGCTTTCTGTTTCTATTCTTCCCTTCTGGATCTTCTGCTGCCAGATATTCTACTTCTCACTCACGCTATATACTACTTGTGTCGATATAAGTAAAACACACCACTGTATGAGTAAAACTAACATTTAAGTTGTTGAGCGAAAAAAAAATTAATAAATAATACTATTTGATTATAAACAATACTTATCGTTTAGGTTGAAGCAACACTATTAATTTGCTGCAGTGTTTTAAGAGTATCTGTTACGTCTGGTCGATTGTGAACGCTATATTCGCTTCCCTAAGCTAGTTCCATACCCCCGAGCTAGAACTATACACCGACTTGAAGACCAGAGAAAAGGCACAAAGTATGAGGGAAGCACTTTACTACAGGGTTCATTTATGTACAGAAAATATAGGGATTTTATAGTCATTTAAGAGTCCTTGAGTTTTTAATGAGTTTTAGAATACTGCTGAACATAGTAGCAGTATATTAATCAGCCAACCAGGATCTCCACATGTGACTTTTCCATTTTCATTATTTTAGTAACATAACTTCCAATTAATCGCTGATTGGTTGATGACTCACGAGTTTGTCATGTCGCTTGCGTGAAAATTACAGGGTCATCCCAACAGTACCATTACTTCACCTTATCACAGTTACCTTAGCAATACTCTCATATTTATATATACATTCGAGTTAAGTATAAAACAGTAAATTTCTGTATCAACTATGTCTATATGAAATTTACTTAGTATTGTTTGTTTGGATCTTCCCATTGAGTGAATAACGCGATGGCGTTTGAAGCGAAAGGTACTGGGTTCGAGTTACAGAGTGAGCATCAACTCTGAGATGCACGTACATCCAGCTGACCAGTCCCAAATAGGACGAAACGCGCGTCCTGGATTCTACTGCTAGTCACTATCCATCTTTGCTTACTATGTCTATATGAGTTTTTATTTATCTGTTCTTTTTTCAGGTAGATTCACAAGCTAGTGAAGCAGTATTTCAACACATGGAAACTAAAGAACTTAAACGAATTAAAGTATGTTGTTAAGTAGAGTTTGAGTGTATGTTTGTGTGTGTTACATTTGTTTTTCAACTAAAGTATTCACGATCTCGAACATTCAATAATATGTTGACCAGTTATAATCTTTATACTAAATATAAACGATGATGCATGAGCAATGAGTAACTAAGTGTTCGTGCAGCAGTTGGCTTCCCGGTTAGTAAAAGGTTTAAATTTCAGTTTAGTCACTACCTAACACATAAAATATGTGCATTACAACCAAGTTAATAAACCTGTACTTGATAATCAATCTGCAATATGAAGAGGAGAAAAGTGACAATGATTAGAATAATAATGAACGAATGCTTTAACTCCACTCTAACTCATTGAGACTGTTATAAGCTGTTTATATTCTGATTTCTACTGCCTAGTAAAAGTTGTCGTAGTCAAAACGTTAATGGATATGTCAAATTTACTTTAAAAAAATATTCTACCATCTTCTCATTATCTGTCTTCTAGCGCTGATTTATTGAGAAATGTAGATCAATCAGGTTGTTCTTGCGTGTTGCTGTTTCGAATATACATTGTCTAAGGACTTATCATACCAATAGTTTATAAACAGTGACTAAGATCATATCTTGTAGATCTGAAACAGAAAATCTTGATTAACAAATGCATCTCAGACAAAACGTAAATCGACTGAATTGTCATCTGTCATCACTACTTACCTAGTCTTTTGTATTTACGTTAACAATGATCTGTTGGGAAAAATGATCAAATCTAAGCAATTGACTCATCGCTTTACACTTTTCAAGGCTATATCTGTCGGTGATAAACCCATAGCTATCTTTGATATGATATATTTACACTATGGTTGCCAGATTTCCACTGATTGATTTAGCCAGTTTTGTGGTGTATGCTACTTGTATCGATAAATATAAGTAGTATATGTAACATCAATGAAAAGTAGAATGGTTGGCAGCAGAAGGTTGAGATGATCGAATTGAAGAGGACAGGATTGTGGACAAAGAGTAATTGTAATAACAATAAAGGAACAATGGAGTTTAAGACAATTGATGGAAGGTTTTCAAATGAAGTATTTAATGTATGGTTTTTCAGAAGGAAGGAACACGTTCAATGAACCTATTACCGTTAGTTTCACACTGCTATACTTACTTACTTACTTACGCCTGTTACTCCCAATGGAGCATAGGCCGCCGACCAGCTTTCTCCAGCCCACTCTGTCCTGGGCTTCCTTTTCTAGTTCTATCCAGTTCTTGTTCATTCTTTTCATGTCTGTCTCAATTTCTCGGCGTAATGTGTTCTTTGGTCTTCCTCTTCTCCTTTGACCTTCAGGATTCCATGTGAGGGCTTGTCTCTTGACGCAATTAGCTGATTTCCTCAAGGTGTGCCCAATCCACTTCCAGCGCTTCTTCCTGATTTCTTCCTCCACTGGAATCTCGTTTGTTGTCTCCCACAGTAACTTGTTGCTGATAGTGTCTGGCCATCGGATCCGAAGTATCTTGCGTAGACAGCTGTTGATGAACACTTGTATCTTCTGGATAATGGCTTTCGTAGTTCTCCACATCTCCGCCCCATACAGTAGAACTGTCTTGACATTCGTATTGAAAATTCTAACCTTGGTGTTGGTTGACAATTGTTTTGAGCTCTAGATGTTTTTCAGTTGTAGGTATGCTGCTCTTGCTTTGCCGATCCGCGCCCTCACATCTGCATCTGATCCACCGTGTTCATCAATGATGCTGCCCAGATATGTAATGGTTTTCACATCCTCCAAAGCTTCTCCGTCAAGTGTAATTTGATTGGTGCATATTGTGTTGTATCGGAGAGTCTTGCTTTTCCCTTTGTGTACATTGAGACCTACTGCTGCTGAGGCTACTGCTACACTGGTTGTTTTCTCCTGTATTTGTTGTTGCGTTTGTGATAGAAGAGCCAGATCATCCGCGAAGTCTAAATCGTCAAGCTGCATCCTGCCTGTCCACTGTATCCCGTGATTTCCTCCAGATGTTGACGTCTCCATGATCCAGTCGATCACCAGGAGAAAGAGAAAGGGTGAGAGTAAGCAACCTTACCTAACACCGGTCTTTACCTCGAATGAATCGGTGTGTTGTCCTCCGTGGATGATATGGCAGTTTAGTCCATCATAGGAGTTCCGTATGATATTGACCTTTTTTTGAGGCACGCCGTAGTGTCGAAGAAGCCTCCATAGTGTCGTCCTGTCAACGCTATCAAATGCCTTCTCGTAGTCAATGAGGTTGATGTACAGTGATGAGTTCCATTCGATTGATTGTTCCACAATGATACGTAGAGTTGCGATTCGATCTGTGCACGATCTATCCTTACGAAATCCAGCTTGTTGATCTCGAAGTTGGGCGTCCACGGATTCCTTCATCCTGTTTAACAATACTCTGTTGAAGACTTTTCCTGGTATTGAGAGGAGAGTGATACCCCTGTAGTTATCGCACTTGCTCAGATCGCCTTTCTTTGGTATCTTGATCAGAAGTCCTTTTTTCCAGTCTATTGGTACTTGTTCTTCGTCCCAAATCTTACTGAAGAGGATGTGGAATATCTTGGCAGTTGCTGTTACATTTGCTTTCAGTGCCTCTGCCGGGCTGTTGTCTGGTCCCGCTGCTTTGCCACTCTTGACTTGTTTAATGGCCATGCTGATTTCTTCAATTGTTGGTGGGCCAAAATCGATTGGGAGGTCTGTGGGTGCTGCTTCGATGTTGGGTGGGTTCAGTGGAGCTGGTCGATTCAAGAGTTCTTTGAAGTGTTCTACCCACCTGTTTCGTTGTTCTTCAATGTCGGTGATTGCTTTGCCTTCCTTGCTGTTCACTGGTCTTTCTGGTTGACGGTAATTTCCAGCAAGTTTCTTTGTTGTATCATACAGTTGTCTCATGTTTCCCTCTCTTGCAGCCTTTTCCGCTATCATTGCTAAATCTTTCACATATTTACGTATGTCGGTTTTGATGCTCCTCTTCACTTGCTTGTTTGCCTCTGTGTATTCAGCTTGTGCCTTGGCTCTTTCCGCTCTTGTTCAGCTGATATTGATTGCTGCCTTCTTGTTCCTCCTTTCTTCAATTTTATCCAGTGTACCAACAGTGATCCATTCCTTGTGATGGTGCTTCTTTTGGCCTAGAACCTCATGACATGTTGAAAAGATTGCCTCCTTGATACCTTTCCAGTTGTTCTACATATTAGTTCCCTCTCCATTGAGTAGATCATGAAAGGCCTCCAACCTGTTGCTGAGGGCTATGTTGAATTTGTTGAGTTTGTCAGCATCTCGAAGAAAGGCCGTGTTAAACTTTTGTGATGTTGTCCGCACCGTTGTCCAGTGCTTCTTGAGTTTTAGTTTCATCTTGGCGACCAGCAAATGATGATGGGATGCTATATCAGCTCCTCTTCTGATTCTCACATCCTCCATCGTCATCCAGAACTTTTTGTTGATGCAGAAATGGTCGATTTGATTCTGTGTAGTGTGATCCGGTGAAATCCAAGTGGCTTTGTGTATGTTTTTGTGTGGGAATATGGTGCCACCTATGACCAGTTTATTGAAGGCACATAGGTTTGCAAATCTCTCACTATTTTCGTTCCTTTCTCCCAGTCTATGTTGTCCCATGACGTCTTCGTATCCAGTGTTGTCCATTCCAACCTTGGCATTGAAATCTCCCATCAGAATTGTCAGGTCCTTGGTTGGGCACTTCTCGAAGATCGACTGCAGCCTATCGTAGAATTGGTCTTTAGAGTCTTCATCGTAGTCATTGGGAGGCGCATAGCATTGGATGATGTTCATTGTAATGCCCTCTCTCTTTGTTTTGAAGGAGGCTTTGATGATCCTTGGTCCATGAGATTCCCATCCAATAAGTGTATTTTGTGCTTTTCTGGACAGCATCAATGCAACTACTTGTGTATGTGGGGCATTTTCTTCTTCATGACCGGAGTATAACAGAAGTTCTCCTGAAGACAGTCGTTGTTGTTCAACCTGCGTCCAATGTGTTTCACTGATTCCTGGCACCTCCAGGTTGTATTTTCTCATTTCTGCAGCAATTTGGAAGACTCTTCCGGTCTCCCACATTGTTCGGACATTCCATGTACCTATAAAAATTGTTGCTCTGGTTGTAAGAAGGTGCATCGGCCTCATGACTTCCGAAGGAACTCGGCTTTCATCATGAGACGTCATAATTATTCCTTCTACTCCCAGGGCGGAGTTTAAATGGTTTGAATGATTTTTTCTGGTTAGCGTTTTTTAGCGAGTTGATTTTCTACGGGATGGGGTCGCTAACCCCATGCCCAACCCTCCTCCTTTACCCGGGCTTGGGACCGGCAGTAACCTCCAGAGGAGCTACAGGCGGAGTTTTCACACTGCTATACACACGTAATTATTTTAATCATCTGATGTCTGTCTTGGATCAGATACTTTTTTCAAAGCAAAACACCATTAATGACGAAACAATAATAATGCGTTTCAATTTTCATAGTGAACAACCTTAAACTGTACACGTACAACAAAACCAGTGTTAAAAATTTAATATTAATAATACTAATACTACTAATATTAATGGTATTATTGTTAGTAGTAGTATTGATAGAAAATCGATGTGCTTTCTGAACTTTATTTTGAAAGATACTCTGATGATCCTAGGTTCATGGGATTTACGTACTTCTCTGGACACCAACATACCAATTACCTTTTTTGTGATCCGATTACAGCAGCATCTCTTTTGAATCTAATCTTTTCTCTCGAGTTTGGCTTCAACGGCTATCACTGATTTTGAGCACTGACAAGTTGTACCTTTCCACTCCGTTAACTATTTGACTGGTCCCCTCAGTTTTACATATTGTCCAGACATTCAATTTGCCCATATTTATTGTTGCTCTGATTGTTGGAAAGAGCATCGGTGTCTTGACCTTCGAAGGATATCAACTTTCTCCATGTTGCGTCATTGTTCTTATTTCAACTCGCAGGATCGAGTCTAAACGGCTGACCACACTCCGAACCCTCCCCTCCTCTTTCCCCAGGCTTGAAATTAGCAGTCACCCTAGAAGAGCTACAGGCGAATTATCGTATATATATTACTTTGTGTGTGTTCATTTGTTAACAAGTCGTAAAAAGTTCCAAAATCACATTTATTAGTGTCAAAATTCAGTTATTTACGTGTAGTTTTTACCGTGAACTATTTACTGTGTATCAATTAACTAGATTACAATTTGTTTATATCAACAAGTGATGTAATTATTGATTCAGTCATTTATGAAGGAAACATGGGATGATTTTCATTCATTTTGGTATTATGCATTTCATTCAGTCAGTCATATGCAACAAGGAACTTGACACGTTTATGTCCGTTCAAGTTGCTTACGTAATATGAAATTGTTAAGGCAAAGTTCAGAATAGTAGATATAGTAACAGTAATAGATAGACTAGATAAATAAAGTATGATTAGAGAAAGAAACATTGATTCGTGAAATTGATTTTACACAACTGTCGTAATTAAGAAACTCAGGATCTAACAACACTTGAAGAGCGAATATACCTCTGCCATTGCTAACTGTTTTGTACCATGTCACATAACGTTTCTAACCATTGGTTAGAAAGATGGCGCAGAGCCTAATTATGTAGTCTACGTTTACGAGTATTACTCAGTTCAACAGTTTTTGTTTTCATGGACGGCTTCTATGTCAGTATATACAAGTAGGTGGTCCCAAAATACATTAGCGACTCTTCAAAGATATCTTTGATCGAATGCTATTAACTTGCGAATATTTTCTTCGTATAAAGAGCACTTTCCACAGTCGTAAAGTAAAATCGAGATGACTTTCGCTTGCCCAACTATTATTTTGAATCCCGAGTGAATATCTCGCCTACTCCGAAAATAAGGCGATGCGATAAACTGTAACCGTACTTCCGAAATCTGTGTCAACATTTCGTCAGGCACCAACCCTCAACCCCATGGAATTGATGAAGCCCCTGGGGTAAATAAAGCGATCAACGTACCAACATTCTAGAAGTTCTTCCTGTCGTTGATGAAGCATTCTCATCAAGAAACATACCAATATCATTTCATTTTGTTGTTATTGTGTTTGTTTCTCTTTGCAGTATGACTTTTTACATATCACTCCACCAATGTGTTGTCCAGAAATTTTAACTAAAACACCAAAATTAACTAATCCAAAAGCATGTGATTATGTAGATGTCAATGTGAAAACTTTACGACATAATCATTATGATAATATATTTGCCCTTGGTGATTGTGCTGCATTGCCTACATCGAAAACTGCCGCAGCTGTATGTAAGTTCATAAACATATTGTTAATATTATTGTAATGAAGGCCGATAACCGAAATCACATGACAAATCATCTATCAGAATCCCGATTCTAGTTTTCATCTATTTCGCGTCTACTAATTACTCTATGACTTAATGTTGCTGAATGGACCAATTACACATCCAAACATCACTATTAATTTCGAGTCAACAGCTAAGTTCTTATTGATCCACCAATCTCCAGCTTTGCTCTCTCTCTCTTTCTGTGACTTGCCTTTAATTTCAGAAATCAGCAACCAGCCTTTGGTATATTTATATTTCAAGCAAACTTAGTTTATATATAAGCAGACTAGATCGCATCACATCGTGATATGAAAAATAACAGTTATATGTGATCAAGCCAAAAAGTATTTCTGACTTATTTACGCTTGTTATCCCTCGTGGAAAAGCATAGGCCGCTCAAATCAACATATTATTGCTTCATTATTAGTTATGAATTATTAGATAGATATAAAATTCTATTTCTATTTATTTATTTAAATATATAAATATTTGTATAAGGGGAACCAGATGCATATGCGCCACACAAATCTCATTTGATTTGTGTGAGAGATGTGATACCGCCTGGGTGCCCAAACCGAAGCACGTAGTTTTCTTAGGGGGCCACACCCGGAGCGTTTGACCTAAAGGTCTGATCTATAAGGTAGTGGAGCATCGTAGGAGACGCAGCCCTATTGTAGCCGGTGACCAGCGATAGATTCATACGCCATTTGTTCCTTCACGATCCTGGAGCCCATGTGCACCATTGGTTTGGAATCAGGGTTTTCCAACTGCCCTAGGTAAACACTCCACATCCACCAACCCGGTTAAAGTGCCGGACATTCGCTTTTCGTCCTCTCAATTTCGTAAACAACAGTAATGCCACGAGAAGGCAGTGAATAGGACTTCCCTGTCAGAGGCTATATACGCGTGGCCATGTGAGATCATATGGAGAGGGAGAGCGGACTCTCTTCACTCTCGACTGTAACAGGGCATTTGGGGCATATTTATTTGATGTCTTCACATATAGCATATTTAGGTATTTACATAAACAAATTATTACCTGTTGGTTACGTAATAAAGTGTAATTCCTATTAAAAATTTCAATTCATGGTTTAAGTTTTATTTATATTTGTGTTTTACATCTGATAAATCAGGTTCTAATAATATTGAATATGTTTGTTTGTTTTTTTCTTGACAAATGTTCTTGGATAGTGACTGGCTTCAAGAGATATTTCCTGGAGTTTTAGTGTGAAGCAATGACTATGCTTTGTTGACTAGTGTACGGGGTGGTTGGAAAAGAGTTAGGGGGGGCCATACCAAAACGTGGCATCAGTGCTTGAAGTCACTAACTTCTAGTCTGAGCCATGTTGGCAGACCCAGACTACTTGGTTGTGATCCGCGTGACTATCGTAACCAATGGTTGGAGACTCTGAGTGATATGGCTCAGAATCGATCACAATGACGTAGGTGTATACACTCTTTATCTTCCCTTAAGCATTGAGATTAAAATTGCTTCATATCTGCCTTCTTTCCTACACTATATCCTTATATACAACCTTTCTTTTATATATTACCACCACTAAATTAACTACTTCTATGAATCCCATGTTCATCTTGTTGTGCTAACGAGGTATGGCAACTTGGACTGATGCATAAATGTGACTGGTCCTATGTTGTAGCTGACTGATTGTTTGACTCTTGGATAACTCTAAGTATTTAGAAGTGAACTGTCTAATCAAAATTACATTCTAGTATACAGAACTTACTAACTAAATGAAGAGAATAAAATTATTATCATTAAACAGGACTATTTGGAAGAATTGTTTGCAAATGTGAACAACATTTCGGAACAAATTAATCTAACGAAGGAAATAGAGTCTGTTGACCACAAACTGGCATTTCTCGACTGTATGGTTGAGCGAAGACTGAATAATAGGAAGTTGAAAATAAATGTTTTCAGAAAATCAACACATTCAGAAAGATACTTAGATTTTGATTCGGCTCATCTTTTATGTACGAAAGTCACAGTTGTTAAAAATGTAATTAACAGAAGTCTTAAGTTTGTTACAGATAGGAAAACCAACAATATGAATTGAATAGGATTTTATCTACACTTGTGGATAACAACTACCCAAAAGAGTTTTTAAAGAAGATTGTTAGAAAGGAAAGAAAAGCTAAACTACAATGTGTACAGAAAGATTGGAAGTCCACTGTAGTCATACCATACCGTAGTGAAACATCGGAAGAAATCAAACGGATCTTAAACAAGCATGATATAAGAGTGTATTTTAAAACATGTGACACTATAAGATCGTCATTGGTGAAGGTTAAGGATAGGTTACCAAAGGAAGAACAACAAAATATTGTCTATGAGATCAATTGTCATGATTGTAATGCAGCTTATATTGGAGAAACATCCAGACAATTGAAGGTAAGGTTGAAGGAACACAAATAATGTTTAAAAAACGTTCACAAAACTTCGTTTAACTTAAGGAAACTTGAGAATAAGTCTGTAATAGCTTTACATGCGTTGGAAACGGGACACATGATTAATTTTGAAGGGGCTAAAATACTTCAGAATGGTTTTAACACTTATAAAGATAGAATAACAGCAGAAGCGCTGTATATATGGGCGAATAAGAACAACCTAAACAGAAAGGATGGTATTCAGCTAGCTACCATTTGGCAAATATTCATCAACAAGTAATTTGACCTTTTCTTCTTTTATTCAACCTGTTTACTTCACATGAATCGTTATTATGACTGAAATCAATATGAGTTATGTTTAGCTTTACAATTTATGTACTTGATGGTGATTCTCATTTGATTTGCAATTTCAATGATTCAGAAAAAAAAACTTTTCAACCTTCATTTTTGCACTTTTATTCTTATTTTTACTTCACATAGAAACATATCAACACTAAATATCATTCATTAATAACTCATCTTACACATACGCACACACACACAATTCATTCAGTCTCCTTTAATTCACATCGTTGAACTTTTCACTTGATTCTCATTCAACTGACTCATATTATTTTTCATAGTAGAAAGCATGAGTCAATTGAAGCTAGACCACCATGGAAAACCTGGAAACACTGGACGGCCGTTTCGTCCTATTATGGGACTCCTCAGCAGTGCGCATCCACGAACCCGCTCTCACGAGATTCGAACCCAGGACCTACCAGTCTCGAGCCGAAACCCTTGACCGATAGACCACTGAGCTGGCATCCAACGGTGTTAATGTCTAACTTCAACTAATCCACGAAGTTGAGCAACCATTCACCGATTGTCTTCAGTGAGTTGATATTTAACAACAGACGTGGTTGAACTCCACTGGTCACTGCTTCCCACTAGAATGATTTATTTAAATTTCAATTACTGAAACTATTTCAAATATAATAATTTTTTCACATATAATGAATCATGTTTTGTGATCCGATTTAGTCAGAACTCCATAGATGTATTCACTGATTTTTTCTCTTTAAATCTTAATCTTGTTTATTCTTCTATACATATCTTACCATTTCATCTTTTTCAAGTCATATTCTGAAAGTTTTACCTTTTTTTGTCATCATTTTAATTTAGTCTTATTACTACTGTCCCAGGTTGTAAGTTGATTATAATTGACTTATTATTCATTTACAAATTATCATTATTCACATTATCAGACTAAGGTTTTATGAAGATTGTAGTAGTTCTAAAAGTTGAATTCATGAGTTCATCTAATCTAGATCATCATTTGAAACATAGAAGCACTAAACGGCCTTTTCGTCCTAGTCTAGGACGGGCTCCTGAGTTCGAGACCCTCTCTTGATGTCATGCATATACACTGCTGAGCAGTCACATACTGCGACGACAGGGCCATTCAATGCTTCCAGCTTTTAACTAATGTTCTAGTTTATTTATATTGTCTATTTAACTTTACTACTAAACTATAATCTTTGTTAGCATATTTCACGCTTAACAACAACAACAACAACCACTGATTGTTTACAATCATCTAATGACCGGTATTAGTAAATCAATGAATGAATTCAGTTTTTTCTTTACTTATAGATAAGTTTGTTTCTTCTTTTCATAAACCTTTTTGTTATTGAAAAAAAACAGTATCAGATTTATTGATTACAGAACATGTATAGTCTATGTTACCAATGAAGGTATGTAGTAGATAGATTACGACATTGATTTCGTAAATGCATAGATATATGTATGTATAGGTATATAACAAATGTGTAACTCTCTTTAATTTACCAATCATATACTGCTATATTGCCCATTTTAACAATGAAGATTTACATGACTGTTAAAAATAGAATAATTCGATGAGACTTTGGCGAGAGTACAATCATTGAAGGTGTTATTTCAGTGAGATCTGGGGGCACTTGGCAACCATTTCAACCTTTATGAGACTCTTCAATAGTGCGCATGTACGGATCCGAAACTTTGATTCGAACCTAAGGATATCGGTCTCATGCGCAACAGTAATGATGGCTAACTTTAATCAATGCACAATATTAAATGACGATATTCCATTGCTTGTGATAAGTAACTGTCTCACACAAGAAATCTTTTTAACTGTTGTGGTCATGGCTTCTCTCTAAAACTCCAGAAATTTCACCTAGAAGTTAATCAATTGTGGGAGTATGATTATTATCAGTGTAGAGTTTTAATCAGAGATTCTGCTTCAGTCAGTGGTGTAGGCGCTAAGCGTTTGCGAGCATGCCAGAAAGTCTTGGGATCGATTCCTGGCTACGTAACCATTCATATATGTGTTTAAACTTACTTGGTTATCATTCTCATTATATATGCTTGTGACTTACAATCTCTCGATCCCTATCCTCAACGTGAATTAATACCTCTAACAGCACTCAAGAATTAATAGATGACTGTAAGATAATTTGAGCTATTGTATTCGTTCTGGAAAATATCATCAACGCTTAATTCATGTATAATTAAGCTTACTTCTATGTTTAAGCTATCTAGTTCTGATAGCATGACACTAGCAAATTTCACTACAACGTTTTGTCAATAAAGTCGCATGTCATGTAAATCATTCATTCATTCCAAAAAGTAAACAATTGGACATAATTAGATTTATCAACATATTGTGGTTATCAAAAGGGGGTTTTGTGTAGATTTTAGTAATTTTATATAGATGAGATCATGAGTCGATTGAAGCTAGACCACCTAGGAAAAACCTGGAAGCACTAGACGGACGTTTCGTCCTATTGTGTCACTCCTCAGCATTGCACATCCCCGATCCCGCCTCGCGAGATTCGAACGCTTCTGATACTGATTATATGCTCACTAGTGACTAGCTACATGAGTTATTTCCTGGAGTTCTAGTGAGAAGCAGTAACCAGTGGAGTTCAACCAGGTCTGTTGAGAGATATCAACTCAGTGAAGACATTGGTGAATGGTTGCTCAACTTCAGGGATTGGTTGAAGTTAGACGTTAACACCGTTGGATGCCGGCCCAGTGGTCTATCTGTTAATTGCTCGCGCGAGACTGATAGGTCCTGGGTTGGAATCTCGCGAGGCGGGATCGTAGATGCGCCCTGCTGAGGAGTCCCACAATAGAACGAAACGGCCGTCCAGTGCTTCCAGGTTTTCGATGGTGGTCTAGCTTCAATCGGCTCATGATCTCAACTATATAAAATTATGGTATCTTCTATTGATTTTTTTCTCTCACGTCTGTTGCTAACTGTTAATCAATTATATAGCTTAACGATACAATCATATTATTCAGATCAAAGCGAATGTTAGAAGAGAAGATTCGGATCAATAGCTGAAAGGTTTAAAGTTCAAATCGTTTCCACAAATAACTTACATTTCATTTAATACAATGAGATGCATCTTTGTTCATTTTAAGTAACTAAGTACACGAAAACTTATCAATTATATCAATACTCATCTATTATGGATTCGTTCAGACTCTAATAGGATAATCTTTGAAACCACTTTTGTAAAATTCATTTAGTATTGTTTGTTTGAATCTTCCCACTGATGTTTAGGACTGCAACTGGTCAGTCTGATTGGAATATGTGCATACTGTGTGTATTGCCTCGATATAGCCTTAATTCACAAGCATTGTAAGCATAGATGGATGGTGACTAGCAGTGGAATCTAGGTTGACGCGCATTTCGTCGTATTTGGGACTCGTCAGCTGGATATACCTACATCTCAGAGTTGATGTTCACTCTGGGACTCAAACCTAGTACCTTTCACTTCAAACAAAAAACATACAGGTCATAACCTGTATGTACCGTCTAATTTTTTTTGTTATCATTTCTTCATAGCTTGTATTGATTGATTTATCTTTTTCATATATATATATATATATATATATATATATATATATATATATTTATGTTATTTTATATCTATATACAACTTACAACTTGACATATGCTCATCGATTTAAGTTGCCACAGAGATACAAAATTATCAAAGTAAATTCCAGAGTAGTTGAAATAGTAAAAGTATCAGTAGTAGTTGAAAACATTCGAAGTAGGTAAAGGAAAGAAGGTAATAAATAAATTTTGGAACTCAGGATCTTGGGGAAATCAAAGACTGAATTTCCCTATGTTAGTGTAAACGATTCTGAGCCGTGTCACCTAAAGTTAGGGGCGGCCAGACCAAAACGTGACATAAATTCATGAAGTCACTAACAAGTGGACTGATTCATGTTAGTAGGTGTAGACTACCTGGTTGAGATCCACTAGATGATAGCAACCGATGGTTAGAGACCTTGACTGACATGGCTCAAAATCGTTTGCAATGGCGAAGGTGCATCCACTATTTGTGTTCTACCAAATTCTAATCTTCTGAATTCTTCATGTCTCTATCTTTTTTCTCTTTTCAAATTTATTTCACTGGATTATACTCCTTCCGTAGCATCTTCAAACCCTAATCTTTCACATTACTGTTTATACTCTTACTACTTCTACCACTATGGGATTTGAATGGACAACTTCATCTCTGTGCTAATGTGGTATGGCAACTCGAACTGATGTACATACGTACGAAGTTCCACGTTGTGACTGACTGACCTAACGTTTCTAACCATTGGTTACGGTAGTTTCACTTACCGTTTACTACACCCACTTACATGGGTCGGAATAATAGCTAATGACATAATAAAATAATACCATTGTTTGGCTGCCCGTACAACAAACCACGTTGCGTTATCCGGTAGACGGACATTGGGAATATGAAACACTTGTTCTAACCACCCCTGTTCATAAATCCCTATTGCACAATCCTTTTCGTTGTCTTCACACAGTATGCCAGGCCTGGAGTCAGTGTAACTCACTTATTGGTGCTGAAATATACGAGCGTTCGTTCAAAGTCGTAGATAGTATCTAGAAACTGGACATAATCACATCTGACTCGTCTTGATCTCTGATCATCTCACTTTACATAAAAGGACAAAAATGCTCGTATGATAATCAGAAAGGAATTCCTTCAACTAATATAGTGCCTAAAATATTAGCCTCAATCATATATCGACGTCTAATCGGAGTTTGTCAAGAGCAAACTAGAAAACCGAGCTGGTTTTAGACGTGGATGTGTAGACGAAATATTCACCCTTCGGCAGGCCCTATCACACACATACTTTTCGATGTCCGACAATATTTGTATTCCTCGACTTTAAGGTGGAGTTTGACAGCTTTGGTCGTGAAGTTTTGTGGTATGATCTGCCATTGAAAGGCATACCAAAGAAGTACATTTACGTTGTACAGGCTCTCCACTCGAAAACTTCAGGGCAAATCACAGATTATTACAAATTTTCATTGTAATTGATTAGTTCTAGTGGTGTTCGTCAAGCTTGTACACTTCCCAAATTTTTATTTAACTCTGTCATAGATATGCTTTCAAAGATAACACATCGTCTGATTTTCCAGGTTGTGATCTTCTACCAGGAGATTCACTAGCAGACGATATAGTTATGTTTGGTGTAGACGCTAACAAAATGCATGGTTTTTTGACCACCTTATGCAACAATAAAAGCAAGTATGGGATACTATTCTCTTACTTCAAATATAAAAAATGATGCTTCAGGATAGACCGGGGTCAGTGTTTGTGGAATTCACCTTAATAATTTCATCTCTCTGAGCGAACGGCGTATGACAACTTAAATTGATGTACATACGTCCCACGTTCCTACCGAATGACTGTGTTGAAGACACTTTTGTTCAAATACAAATACCCTTTATTCATTTGTATGTGTATAAGTTTTATTGTGCAATTAATGTAAAACATGATGACAGTCTAATCGCAGACAATGTTATTCACTAATGTCATATATAATTTGGTATTCAATCAGTTCTACCCTACTAAAGGAGAACTGTTATCATATAAATTATAGATTTCCCGTCATACATTACACATCAATTGAGGAAATTCATTTTTTTGTAATTTATTATTTGTAGCTAATCAAGCGGCAACATTAGAAAAGAATCTATGTGATGTTATCAAAGGTGGTCAAGGAAATGTTTCTGAAGTGAGTGTTTATACTTTTTTGTGATTTTCAATGCCTGACATTTTATTCTCAATCGATGCTAGACTACCATGGGAAACCTGGAAGCACTGGACGGCTGTTTCGTTCTTTTATGGGACTCCTCAGCAGTGCGCACTCGCGAGATTCGAACCCAGGGCCTACCAGTCTTGTTTGTTCTGACTCTAATCAATAGGTGTTGATACATTCATCATGAGATCTAAAGGTGTTTGATCCAATGTTTAATGCGTATATAGTTATATTTAGGCACAAATCAAGTATCCATTACTACTGGTTCTTGGTTTTTATTTGTCCTTAGTATATATTCATCAGTAATGAACATCAATACATACCTCAGTCTTTATAAACTCTTTAATGTAGTTAATAAGATAGAAAAATGAATGAATGTTTGAAAGTAAAATTTACAATGGTATTCGAATCCTGCAAGGCGAGATCGTGGATGCACACTGCTGAGGAGTCCCACAATAGGATGAAACGGCCGTCCAGTGCTTTCAGGTTTTCCTTGGTGACCTAGCTTCAATTGACTCATGCTTTCAACTATGAAAATACTGAAATCTCCACGTAATACTACTTCTTATCTTCAATGTGCATTTGTAAAAGTATGTAACTCATAGATATTCACTATATAATACCAATTGAGTTCAAAGAAGCGCAAACATTTAAGCCATTTGAAATGATAGATTGGGAGATTTTAGGGATATGATCTCTGTGTTTATGAAAACAATGCAGAATTGTAAATCTTCTAATCTCGTAAATGTGATCTACTGAATCGTTAAGTAGTGTGAATTATGACTAATTATTGTGACGGGTGGTGTCCAAAATCTGTTATTGATATTTGATGTGCTATGGTCTATTCCCCAAACTGACTACTTCAGCGAGAACACATAAGTGACCGAGAAAGTGTATTAGACTACTGAATCAAATGCACAAATACTCATTCATATCATATACCACTCTGTTCTTAGGAAATTGACCCCAATAAAATGCACTTGACCTTTGTGTCACTTCTAATTGCCATCGATTGACCTTTTCGTTAGGCTACTTCTGATTGGCTCTCAATATCACTAATACAAACTGACTTATTTCGTGAAAGTCCAATGATTTCTGTTGAGATATCAGCTGAAATCAACTTTTAATTCATTAAATCTCATCTTACACCATAGTATTTTCTAGAATGCGTGAATACTGACCTATCCTTTTACTCTTTCAGTATACCTGCTTTCGCAAATGCATATAGTCCTGTTGAATATGGTCTGACATGATGTATTGTTTTCGCTCATAAGTCAGTTGAATTTTGCAAATTATTGTCCACACAAATACAAATCAAGTATTCTGTGTTCATACATCAATTATCAACTCATTGAAGACAATTAGTGAACAGTTGCTCAAAGTCGTGGATTGGTTGAAGTTAAACATTAACACCGTTGTATGCCGGTCAGCTCAGTGCATGCCGTCCAGTGCTTTCAGGTTTTTTTTGGTGACCTAGCTTCAATTGACTCATGATTTCAACCATGAAGATTATTAATGTGGTGATAAGTTTTAAGAAAAGTTGACGAGAATGAAATCAAGACAGAACTTGTTTGTGAAATTATTATTTATCAAACTATGTACAAACTACTTGGCAATGGTGTGCACAATCAGACTATGTGCAAATTACCTGGCAATAGTGTGCACAGTTTATATGACCAACGGTTGAAGAATTTAATCGACTTGGTCTTAGAATCAGTCTTCATGGTGTAGATTTATTCCCTGTTAATCTTTGTATTCAGCGCCTTCTTTCTATAATAATACTGTATGTTCTTATTGCTTTCTACTACTATCAATACTGTTGTCACTTTCACTACTATGATATTTGACGTGATGATTTCTTCTCGTTGTATATATAATGGGAACTTGAACTGATGCACATCAGTACAAGATCCTACATTACGTTCGACTGATTGATTAACGGTTCACATTGTTCTCCTTTTATTTCTTTTTCTTATCAGTATGATGGATATACAGCTTGTCCTATAGTTACTGGGTATAATCGTGGTATTATAGCAGAATTTGATTATAGAGCTAAACCATTAGAAACATTACCTATTGATCAAGGAAAAGAACGTTATATATTCTATTTTATTAAAACATACATTCTACCACCACTTTATTGGGATGGACTTTTAAAGTGAGTACATATTGGTATTTATTTAATTTAATATTATGTAATATACTTATTTATTAAATATTTAAACACATAAATATTGGTACAAGGAAGCACCAGATATACATATACGCCACACAAATCTCACTTGATTTGTGTGAGGGCTGTGATACTGTCCAGGTACCCAAACTAAAGCAGGTGGTTTTCTTACGGGGACACACCAGGAGCTTTTGATCTAAAGGTCTGATCAACAAGACAGTGGGGCATCATGAGGAGATGCAGTTCCATGGTAGCCGGTGATCAACGATTGATTCATACACCATTTGTTCCCTCAGGATATTGGAGTCAGCTCATGTTCACCATTGGTTTGGAATGAGGGTTTTCCAACTCCCCTAGGTGAACTTTCCGTGTCCACCAACCTGGTTAAAGCGCCGAACATTCGCTTTTCGTCCTCTCAATTTCGTAAACAACAGTAATGTCAAGAGAAGGTAGTGAGTAGGACTTTCCTGGCAAAGACTATATACGCATGGCCATGTAAAATCATTTGGAGAGGGGGAGCGTACTCTACCCGCTCTCAGCCCTACCAGAGCATTTGGGGGCATCTGTAAATGAAAATGAGAATGAGTGGTAAGTTCCTATCGATTCGACAATATAACCCGCTAATCCGGAGGTAAATGACCTATCATTTTTATGAAAAATATTTTACTCTGTGTAATTCGTTAACCTTACGGCTGATAACCGAAATGTTTAAGGCGAAGTAAGGTGTGTTATTTCGAAGGATAAATATTTATAAACCCAGGCATATTCATTAGAGATGCCTGTTAACTTTAAGAAACATCCTATTGTTATCACACTTCAGTGGGTTCAGCCTAACTACTATTTCTAGGAATAAGTGTTACAACTACTGTTACTCAATAAGGTCTTCATGATGTGTGACCCTTACCGTCAAGTTTAGATAGTAACTTATACTCTATCTATACTGATGCAGTTTGTAGATCGAATCTGTTAACGCATTCAGTTTGATAATATCTTATTACATTTATTTAAAAGGTCTAATCTGGAAATGTATGAGAACAATTTTTTTCTCCTACTAGATTATAATAGGATGTTTTGTGCTTTTATTAATACTCAAATATCAACACCCATCAATAATCTGATTACACTTATTTGTCGAACTCAATATTAAAGTAAATATTCCCTTCAGATAAAATTGTCGTTGGAGGTGGTCAACAGGAAACCCTGGACCCGGGTTTCGTGCTACTTGGCACTCGTACCTGTAACCTTGAAGGAACTGGTGCTCCCTGACGGACTTGATCCCATGTCACCCAGCCTCTTAGTCAGAGACGTTACTGCTGAGCTATTCGGGCCGCGACCGACCTCCTCTTGGACTGAGATGTAATCACAATTGATTGATCACTGGGTAGTGATCAATGTCATGCGTATCAATTCCATCTTAGTGCTGATCGAATGCTATCGATTAAGTTACAATTTGGACACTAGTCTAGGTGGCTCGACACTGCGTGCACTATGTTGAGATAAGATGGTGGTTGGAGGTGGTCAACAGAAACCTCTGGACACGGGTTTTGTACTACTTGGCATGTGTCGAGCCACTTAGACTAGTGGCTACATTGCAACTTGATCGATAGCATTCGATCAGCACTAGGCATGACATTGATCACCACCCAGTGATCAATCAAAAATTCTACTTCATATCTCTTATATATGTAATCATTTCTACTATGAGTTCATTTTTCAAACAATTCTAACTCCATATGTACCAACATTTTATACTGGAAAGTTCACTCTTTTCGTTTTCTCTCATTTTTTTTTTGCTCATTTAAAATCATTATTTACCACATTAATCCATATATTAACTTTTAATAGTGATTATGATTAGGGTGCATAAATTATCTTTACAAATAGAGTAACTAAGTGCATTCTATTTGTATGTACTTCTATACTGCAATAGAAAGCTATTATACTTTAGCTGCCCTGTATCTGGATTCAGTTTAATCGTATGCTAGTTTTAATCGAAATATACATACCACTAGCAATCGTATTATCGTTATCGACCTAATTCGCATTAGTGAATAAGTTAAATACGTGGATGAAGTTTAAATATGTATATTTTGTACATTCACTGAACTGGAAAGACAATCAAGGAAACGAAACAACACCCGGCGGAGAAGGCGAATGAGCCAACTCATTTCGACCAAACGTGTGTCGATATTTATAGTCAGATAAACATGAGTTACAGACATGTAATGAGTAAGCTGAACAGTTAACACACATAAGATCATATAAAAACAGTTTGGGTTAATAAGTTAGTCAGTCAGCAACAAAGTAGGACCAGTCACATATATATGCGTCGGTCCAATTTGCCACACCTTCTTAAACACAACAAGATGAACACCAAATTCATAGAAGTAGTTAATGCAGTGGTTTTAATATCTAAAAGGAACGATTGTGTATTATGATATAATACAGGAAGAAAGAATTAGTTCGTAGAAATAATGATACAAAGCAATTTTAATCTCACGGTATAAGGGAACACGGAGAGTGTATATACCTACACCATTGTGATGGACTCTGAGCCATGTCACCCATGTTTAATAAAAGAATAAGTAAAAATGTCGAAATGTTGCGTGAGAAAGATGAATAAATTGGTCTGTTCAGAAATTAAAATAACCTATGTGGGATTGACATAGTACCAGCCACTTTCAAATTTCCATTTTTTAGACCATCAGTTTAAATATGTATTTTTCTCTGTAACGCTTTTTTTGCAAATATATCCTACCAATGAATTAGATATTGTAATAAGTTATAATAATGATTATAATCCACTCAATATTTAACCATTATATCATGGTTTCTAAATCAATCTTGTCTACTTCGATCTAAGTATATTTTTGTGGTATCATTACTCCCCATAGAGCCCCCAAATGCCCTAGTATGATCGAGAGTGGGGAGAGTCCGCTCTCCCTGTCCAAATGCTTTCACATGACCACGCATATATAGCCTCTGCCAGGGAAGTTCTACTCACTGCCTTCTCGTGGCATTACTGCTATTTACGAAATTGAGAGGACGAAAAGCGAATGCCCGACGCTTTAACCGGGTTGGTGGATGTGGAGTGTTTACATAGGGGAATTGGAAAACCCTCATTCCAAACAAATGGTGCACATCGGCTGTCTCCAGTATCCTGAGGGAACAAATGGTGTATGAATCAACCGTCGGTCACTGGCTACCATGGGACTGCATCTCCTCACGATGCCCCACTGCCTTGTGGATCAGATCTTAGGTCAAACGCTTTGGGTGTGTCTTCCTAAGAAAACCACCTGCTTTAGTTTGGGTACCTGGACAGTATCACAGCCCTCACACAAATCAAGTGAGATTTGTGTGGCGTATATGTATCTGGTGCTTCCTAGTACCAATATTTATGTGTTTAAATAAATAAATAAAAAACTCTCCATAGTAACTGTTTGTCCTCAAATCTGTGTTGTACGTTAGTTCTTTAATCTTACTTGTCATAGAACTTGACAGCCATATGGATCGGTTCAAGTTGTTGCAATACATTGGTAAAGTGAGATGAAATTATTCCATGACAAATCTCATAACAGTAATAGGAGTAATGGAAGTAGAAAAGATTAGATATAAATAAAGAAAAACACAGTCCAAATAGATTTTAGAACTGGGGTTCGTTGGCTAGATAAGTTAGAATTCACCTGCACCAGTAACAACGATACTGAGCCATTTCACTTAACGTCTTTCACCCTTGATCAGGGTTATTCCGCGGACCGTAACCAAGTAATCTACATCTACCTACATGCTTCAGACTAACAAACAAGGACTTCATGAACAAGCACCACATTTTAGTATGGCCTCACGTGGCTTTCTTCCAACTTATTCTGTCACTAGAAATCATTGCAAACTATTCTGAGTCATGTCAACAAAGTCTATAACTGTTTGGTTACGGTAGTCACGTAGGTCTGTGTACATAAATGTTTATGGGTTTCGTTGTAATAATGATAATGACGGTAGTAGTTGAATAGCTTTTGAATTTAACATTTTGCATAACAAACTTCTTTCTTAGATTTATGAAACATTTATGTCTACAAATATTCATAGTTTAAACATTATTTCTCTCTTCTCTTTTATCGTGACTATCGTAACCAATGGTTGGAGACTCTGTGTGATATGGCTCAGAATCGATCACAATGGCGTAGGTGTATACACTCTTCCCTTAAACCTTGAGATTAAAATCGACTCATAACTTTCTTCCTTCCTATACTATATCCTTATATAAAACGTTTCTTTTATATATTACCACCACCACTAAATTAACTACTTCTATGAATTCGGTGTTCGTCTTGTTGTGTTATTAAGGTATGGCAATATTGACCGATGCATATATTTGCCTGGTCCTACTTTGTAGCTGACTGACTGACTCTCTTTTATCCTATTTATTAATTTCATTTATTTCAATCATAAGCAATTACTAACCATAGTTTGAATTATGTCGTTGATATTCTTGACTAAATTTCGATCAGTCTTTGTTGAAATATACTCACCTCTGTCCGAGACTGCTTTGATACAGTCATTCTCTAAGGTAAAGTGTATTACATTCGTGTCCCTACTGAGGTATTGCTACATATAGCTAATGAGTTGGAAACAAGACGTTGAATTTTTGTTCTGAACTTGACTATTAGATATCATTTTTTTAATAATTTTATTTAACTCCGTCGTTATACATCTTGTTCTACTAATTAAGCATTGCTTATTAAATTAATAGACACTTTCCTAAACTCTTATGTAGTAACTGAATCAAATTTATCAATAATCTAAGTCTTAAAGTTGGTCTATTGAATAATACAAAGAGGATAACTTTCATGAGGGGAATGGAGAGCTGTAACAACATGGACGTTCTCAGACAAATGAAATACTGTCTCAAATCTCTATGGTATATGAGAAAAGCAAATATAAACATCTTCATTAAAGTGAATTATTCCATTGATAAAAGTCACAACCTACATATCTGCGTCTGGATTTATCAAGATACACGTCTTATTTATTTAATTATTTGAACACATGAATATTGGTACAATGGGGCACCAGATATATATGCGCCACACAAATCTCATTTGATTTGTGTGAGGGCTGTGATACTGTCCAACTGCCCAAACTGAAGCAGGTGGTTTTCTTACGGGGCCACACCCGTAGCCTTTGACTTTAAGATCTGATCCACAAGGCAGTGGAGCCTCGTGAGGAGATGCAGTTCCATAGTAGCCAGTGACTAACGATTGATTCATACGCCGTTTGTTCCCTCAGAATACTGGAGACAGCCGATGTACACCATTTGTTTGGAATGAAGGTTTTCCAACTCCCTTAGGTGGACTTTCCGTGTCCACCAACCCGGTTAAAGCGCCGGACATCTCATTTTCGTCCTCTCAATTTTATAAACAACAGTAATGTTGCGAGAAGGCAGTGAGTAGGACTTGTGTGGCAGAGGCTATATACACGTGTAATAGACTAAATCAAGTATTAAACTACGTATAGTGGAACTGAATCGGACTGGATATTCTACAAGTGCTCAAATTTATAATCATTGCTCATGAACTATCTCCAATTTACTTTTTGAAATCAATATACCATTCATGTTCTGTTTTTCTTTTCACTTTTACTAGAGGAATATGGTCTGGTCCAAAATCTATTCGAAATCTGCTTCATTTACATCGACCTTCATATTCCGAACCACAGAAATGATCTGAAGAAAGATGATAATTCACTGACATTTTCTTTGTATTCTTCTTCTTCATCATCATCATCATCATCATGAAAGTGTGTGTTTGTATGTATGTGTATGTGCCTATTATGTAATTGATGATTTCTAAAACATCTACACATTTTGTTCTCATTGCATGAACCTTTTTTTGTAGTTTCATAATTTTTTTTACTGTAACCTTTGAGCAACAAAATAATATTTTCATTTTGTTCATTGATTTGATGCAATAATCATAATTATTGTTCATTATCCTTTACCCGGGCTTGGGACTGGCAGTAGCCCTCGGAGGAGCTAAGTTAATTATCTTTATCAACGGTTATCTAAGTAATGTCCAATTTCTGACGTAATATAAAATCTTGGAGTTGAATGTAATCCCATCTTACTGGTCACATTCACTGATTGTCCCAATATATAAGAAGGGGTGAAAATCATTTTGTAATAACCATAGAGGGGTTCAACTGCTAGCCGCTATCCATCTTTGCTTATCATTCTTGTGAATCAAGGCTATATCGAGGCAATACGCACAGTATGCACATATGCCAATTAGAGACTGACCAGTTACAGTCCTAACACATGGATGGGAAGATTCAAACAAACAATACTGAGTGAACATAGAGGGATTAGTTTGACTAATATAGCATATAAAGTACAAGCTTCAATAATAATCAAGCGCCTAAATAAGACTCGTTAACTTCAAACACGAGAAAATCAGGCTGGTTTCAGACCTGGTCGTGTCTGTATCGACCACATATTAACTATTCATCAGGTTTTAGAACACAGACATGTTTATCGGCGTCCGACGATACAGAGTTCTCTGTTAGCACTGAGTAACAATACCAGGACATTTGGAATGCGTTTCTCCCCCTCTAAATATAAATTGTTACTCCAGGACTGGCCTGCGTCAACACCTATACTAAGGATAGGGAGTGAAGTAGTCGAACGACGCGTCGACAACTTCACTTGGAAGTCTGATCAGCCCTAATCAGTTGGTCTCTGACGAGATCTCAGCACGGATTCAAAAAACCCGTTTGGTTTTCGCCAAATTACGTCACCTATGGCGAAGACGAGATATCCGTCTATGAATTAAGGGACGAGTATATTGCTTAGCAGTTCGTTCTGCTCTACTTTACGGCTGTGAAACATGGCCATTAAGAGTAGAAGACACTCTTAAGTTACTAGTATTTGATCACAGACGTCATAGAAATATCGCTCGCATCTGCTGGGATCACCGATTAAGTAATAGTGAGGTTAGACACAGGGTATTAGGGAATAATGGTTAATCAGTTGATGAGATTGTGAATCTTCCTCGACTGAGATGGTTGGGTCACGTGTTTTGTATGCCTGAACACCGATTTCCATGACGCGCTATGCTGACTAGTATTGGCGATGGTTGGAAGAGAGTTAGGGGCGGCCAAACCAAAACATGGCATCAGGGCTTGAAGTCATGAGCTTCTAGTCTGAGCCATGTTGGCAGATGCAGGCTACTTGGTTGGTGTCCATGTGACTATTGTAACCAATGTTTGAATACTTTGTGTGACATGATTCAGAATCGATCACAATGACGCAGGTGTATACACTCTTTATCTTCCCTTAAACCTTGAGATTAAACTTACTTCATATCTGTCTTTCTTCCTGTACTGTATCCCTATATACAACCTATCTTTTATATACTACCACCACTAAATTAACTACTTCTATGAATCCCATATTCATCTTGTTGTGCTAATGATGCATGACAACTTGGACCGATGCATATTTGTGCCTGGTCCTACGTTGTAGCTGACTGACTCTGACGTAATATTAACTAGATTGCCATTTGAACCAGAAATATGCATTTCAAATGGTTTAATCTCAATAGAAGTGATATTATATATTCCTATCGAAAGTTGAAGACAAATGCCTATCCCTTTATTTATTGTAATCGTTGTCTACTGGATTATATAATTATAATAGCTAATATTCAACGGAAGGATATTTTATATTATGTACAGTGTAATGGTCTCAACACTTAGAATGTTGATATACTTCGTTAAGTTTGATGAATGTTTGTTATGTGAATATCAATACTTAGAGCTGGAGGTGTGCGTCCATTTGATGGAATTCCTTGTAGAATGATAGAGCCGTCTTGGATTTCATTGTTTTTTACTATACAGTAGTACAATGTACCAACATTATCATAAATGTTTTTTTTTAAATATCGATTCGAGCAACAGTTTATCAGCTTACTGATGACTCTGCTTCTAATCTGTTATGTGTTCAAGGTAAAAGATTGATCTAGGTAGCCACGTCGTAGAATCATCAACTCTTACATAAAGGAATGTTTTTTAGTAAACCCCATCTTCATACACTAACTTCAGTTAGACAACCATTCAATACCAGTAGAGATTGAATAGTTATGGAAATTTTTAACAACACTTCTCCTCCCTTATAATAATGATAATCATTTGCTGACCATTGACTAATTTAAAGTGTTTACTCCTGTAGTTCTAGTGAGAGGTGATGATCAGTGAAGTTCAACCATTTCGGTTGTGGGTCAGCTTTCTACCGATCACTATCTGTTACTCAAACTAAGTATAGAACCTGACACATGTGTCAATCGGTTGAAGTTGCCATACACTACCAGTACAGCAAGACGAAATTTTCGGGAGAAATCCCTAAGTATTTGGGTTAATAACAGTATTAGTGATGATAGTATTAAAGGTTAGATGCCAAAGATATTATTCAAGAAGAAATATGGATTATTGAAATAAAAAAATTATGAGGGAATTTAAAAACTTGGGATCTAAGGGTAAGATAAATAGTCTGTACGTACGTACGAAGTTCTACGTTGTAACTGAATGCACTAAAACCCCTCTAAACGGTTGTTAGCTATATCGCCTATAGTTTCTGAGTGCTTGTTTCTCACGGACCTAAATCAAGTAGTATGGACTTAACTACAGACTCGGTCCAATGATCAGGGTTTTCAAGAACTGGTGCCATATCTTATTTTGACACCCACTGTGTTTCTTCCATTATAGTCCAGCAATCATGAACGCTTGTCAGGGTAATTTGTGGATGAGCTTACATAATGCATGTCCTAATAGTCTCAGTCAATAAAAATTCACTACCTCATAAAAAGATTTGTTATACCTGATACGTTAGAAGACGTATGGTCGAATGCTAGTAAACTGCAAGTATCCCCCATTTTTAATGACAACTTGTAACAATCACAAAGCAAAATGCAGCGGAATGTTCGAGAATTAAGTCATTGTTTGTTTGACAGACAAATATCTCGGCTAAGTCATATGTGATGCATGTTGTTAGAAATCCAGGAAGTTTGCTGAATTTGTGCAGAACGTTTTGTCAAACACTGACTCAACACGGACGGTGAAACTTCCAAGGAAAGCAAAGTAATCAACGTGTTCAAGTACTTCACTAATAATCACAGGAGGATAATTAAACAATAGCGTCAATTGAAGTTAAAAATCTAAATCGTTGGATTCGAACTCAGATCTGAACGCTAAGGACTCACTGCAAGACTTAGAGGTTTCGATTTTAGTCCATAGTAAGATGATAAATCCGCTTATTATCAAGGAGTTCCATCCCAAAAACAATATACCTATCCGTTTCTTTCTCCTTTTCAATGTTTATCTGATTTATATCATTTTATAATATAAACCATAAAATCTAACAATCCATTATATTGAATTGCATCATTACTCTAATTAATGGTACATGTTTTGTGCATAGAACGTGTTAGGTATTTCAATATAATAAGACCATATAAACATACGTGTTTATTCAGTTATTATTAAAATCAGATGATAATTTTAATGAATTTCTATAAATGTAATATGGTCAGTCAGTCAGTCACAACGTAGAACTTTGTATGTATGTACGTACATCAGTTCGAGTTGCCATACCACAGCATTAGCACAGAGATGCATTTGTCGATTTAAATCCCATAGTGGTAGGAGTAGTAATAGTATAAGCATTAATGTGAAAGATTAAGGTTTGAAGATGTTATTGAAGGAGTGTAATATAGTGAAATAAACTTGGAAACAGAGAAAAAGGATATGGACATGAAGAATTCAGAAGATTAGAATTTGGTATAGTCACTTACTTACTTACGCCTAATACTCCCAATGGAGCATAGGCCGCCGACCAGCATTCATTATTAGAAATATAACATCTAGTATAAACTTCTATATAGTTGAAATCATGAGACATTTGAAGCTAGACCACCACCATCGAAAATCTGTTAGCACTGTAAGGCCGTTTCGTTCATTTTATGGAGTGATGAGGTCTTACTGTCTGATTTATAAACCGAGTATGCTTGAAATAAATGATTCGCATAGCAGAAAGTGCAATTGCTGTCTTTGGACTCAGTTGGAAGGGCTAAGCGGACAAGAGACCAATAAGGACTCTAGACTACTCATACCAGTTGAACGTCATTGATTTGGCACAGTGTAAAGACTAGAAAAATCGTATTCCGAATGGTGAATAAATCACGTGATAAAAGTCGGACGTACGATCATAACGAATCAGCAGTATGGCCTTCTTATTTTGTAGTCATAATAAATTGGCGACGGCCTTCTTTTATACAATCACAACAGTTACTTGTCAACAATTCATACTTAACATTTTATGTGGAATGGTGACTTCGAACTTTCCCCCCCCCGCACGTAGTTTAATTATTCGAGACGGTATTGTTATAATAAAGCGAGTATTGGGATAGATGATTTTTCGGAACTGTCCTACCTGAAGTGATGGTCTATATTTTGGTTTTTTTTTAATTATTAAATACTCAAATTATTGTGCTTTTGTTTTACCTTCCTTTAAGGCTTTCCAGCGATGCGTAAACATTTGATGTGCCTTATACGTTTCTTCACTTACTGACGACTTATTGTTGACCTAATACTCACTTCTCTTTCACTTATAGCCTAGTTTCTGAATTATGTTGATGTGTGTTCAACATCTTACGCGTATTAAAAAAATTAGAACATATGATATCGATCAGCGTGACCGTTGCTGCTACCTTGACTTGGTGGTCGGGCTTGCCTATCGTGATGAACCGATCGAGCTATACTTGCAGATCGGTTGAAGAGCGGTAAGATGAAAAGCAGCAATCCAAAGCTCCGAAGGCGAAGTCGTACTGCATACTGTACAGAGGTGTAACATCAGTAAGGTATTTCCTTCAGACAACCAGCATAACAGCGATGCTGCCTTTCCATAAGGAGGGGTGGGGTTAGAAAAGGTCGGCCCTAAAAATGCACACCTCTTATTATCCCACGGATATCCGTCTCTGGCGGTAAGGTCCTTTGAAGAACGGAGCTAACACAAAAACCATTCACAAAAAGGTTGTATGTGACCGACCTCAAGCAGTCGTCCCTTGGGCACTGCGGTCACGCTCTCAGGTCATTAAGACCGCCTCTAACGCAATTT